ATGATATAGAAATCATGTTTAGGATGTTATTTTGATTCCTAGTATCTAGTATGATAATCAGGGTGATTTGCTTATATCAATTATGGTTCCTGTGATGCTTCCTATTTTCTTTCCTAATATACATGTTAGTATCAAGTTAGGGCTAAATATTTGATCTTTCATGTTTAGTGACATGCTAGGGATTGTTATTAATCTTGTTAGTATCATGTCTAAGATCTTGCTATTATTATGCTTTAACATGATTATTTTTATATTTGTTATAATTATTATTATTATGATGATGATTATTGTTGTGTTAAATTATATAATTTAACGTAATTTGTTAATTATTGAATTGTTTCATGTAATTTGTTAATTTACGAATTGTTTTACATAATTTGTTTATTTACGAATTATTTCATGTTATTTGGATAACTTATATATAATTTATTATTATGTTGCTTGATAATTTTTATTTTTATTGCTTGATCACACCTTTTATGCATGTTTAAAGGGAACTTGTATTTGTAATCACGCTTAATAAGATAATTAATAATCTTATTTAAGGTTAAAATGATTATAATTCAACTTATCACCAATAATAGTTTTGTTGTGCATTAATATTCAACCAATAAGGTTAAACAGGTTTAGAGTAAACCTATTGATTGCATGTTAGTCAGAAAGCGCACATAAATAAGAGAAGAATAAAGTAGAGGTCTATTATTAAGGCAGGTTCAATCTCTTTTAGGTTGCATTTGTACCTTCATCCCCGAACTTCCAGTCATGGTTCCAGACCTATTGGAGTTAACGATCTCCTGGATCGTTAAGGGGTGTAATATTCACCCTGTGAACGGTTTACAAGTTACCAAAACTTGTTGGCGACTCTTTTGCTCTAGCTTCTTTCCTTTTGGACGCTACCATACTTATGTGTATGATCACAGAGGGGTTCAAGTTTGGGGTAATGCTTGAAATATTCCCTACAATAGTATATATCTTTTATATTTTTTAATTATGGATAATTAAAGTTATTGACCGTTAAAGGTTTGCATTGGCAAGCATGATAAAAGAAACATGTTGAGTAAAACAGAACATAGGAAGTATTATGTTTTTTATTCATCAAACAAAATAATATCCAAACATGAGAAATATATTTATATTATGTGAGTGACATTAGACTATACAATATACACATTAAAATTTAGATATTGAATCTAAGAGAAAGATTACATTTCAATTTCTTATGCAATTTTATTTATTTATATATTTTTCTTTTAAAGACGGTTAGTGCATATTTATATCATTATAAGATTGTCAACGAGAACATACAACGAAACCTCTTTCACTTTCTTGTGCAGTTAAAGTACTTATTTAGTTTGTTAACTAGGTTAAAATCTCGTACAATACACGATTGTTAAATAAATTTGACAATAATATTACAATATACAGAGTATAAAGTATAGTATAAAAGATATTTAGAAATATTCACACATAGCATCGAGCTTGATATATTCACACACACGAATTTTTGTGTGTCACATAGCTTGTGTATATACTCCCTCCATTACAAATTACTCACAGTAAAGGAATATTTTATGTCTCACAAATGATACTCCTTTATTGCGAGTAATTTGTAGCGGAGGAAGTATAATTGTCAAACTAGAAAGCAAATATAATAAGTTATAAATAGTTTACTTAAAGTGTTTGCAAAAAAAAAAAAAAAAAAAGCGAAATAGGCGGAAATTTTTTTCACAAGGTTATGACAAGTGTCATTGAAAAATGTGCTTTTAGTATAGGTTTAATAGATAGATGTTTTTTTTTTTTTTTGGGTTTTTCTATACAATAACCTTGTTAATATCACTTTTCTACATTGTGCCCCAACATATATCACTTTCTATATTGTAACCTCAATATACATTTTGTTTCCAAACTGTAACCTTGCCATTCTCCCACCATCAAAAATTCCGTTAGTGGGGCCCACTCTCAAGTTATTTATATTTTTTTAATCGATTTGCACATTGAAAAATATTCTATTGAAGGTTTTGGGGGCTATTTTGGTCTTCAAGGATCCAAATTGAGCTAAGATTTCAAAAAATAAAAAATTTAACATACATGCCTCGTTATAAGTATTAAAACATGAACACATAAATCGATACATTACTTAATAAGCAAAACGAGGCTTTAAGTTATGTTTTTGCCAAATTCGAGCTCAATTTGAAAACTGAAGGACCAAAATAGCACCGAAACTTTTAACGGAACATTTTATAACGCGCAAATCAATAAAAAATATATTCATAAATTGAGAGTGGGCCTCACTAACGGAATTTTTAAAGGCGGATAACGGTAAGGTTACCATATGGTATTATGGTAACAAAATATATATTGGGATTACAGTGTGGAAAATGTTATATGTTGGGACACATGTAGAAAAGTGAAATTAACATGGTTATTATATAGAAAAACCATCTTTTTTTTTTTTTTTGAGGAAATACATAGATGTTGGAGGGAGCCCGGTTTATCAATATGATCAACGAAATTTGTTGATCAAATGGCAATTCAGTAAATATTTTGCTTTGTTTTCCGTGAAATGACTTTAAAAAATATATTTCTACTCAGTTGGTAGGTGGCACTTATGGACCACAATTAACGCCAAGTTAACGAGGGCGTTAACTCTAGAAGACCATCAGCAGTATACATCATCTTTCAAACTCTCCTTATTTTCTCTCTCCTCCGCCATTGAAGTCGACGATGAAGCTTCCACCGCCATTGAACGATCTCTTGATTGGACGACTTCTTCTTCAACTATTTGATTTTTGATAACATTTAAGCTAATTAATCTTGTTACAAATTCAGCTGAAAATCAAATGAATCTGGAACAATAAAATTGAATTGAATTCTCAAAAATTCAGTTTGGTATTTTTTTCATTATTTTTTGTCCTTTGCTTCTTCCTACCCCATCTTCTTCATCCTTCATTCCTCCATCTTCTTCATCCTCCACCTTCTTCTTGCTTTCTTGCTCGTGAACACCATGTCACCGCCACAATTTTGGCAAAAACGAAAACCCCGGTTGACAAAGGTGAAAAGAGGAAAGGGTTATATCCTACTGCCCAAATTTAGTGAATTTAAATTGCCCAGCTTCAATGGTGAGTGCTCTGACCTTAATTTTGTGATAGAGGAGAGCAATGTTCAGCTTTAAATTCACAGGAGACAGAAATTTGTTTCTTTTTGAAAAAACAGGAGAGAAAATTAAAGAAGGAAAGAGAAAATGTTCAAAATAACCAGAAGAGAGAGAAAATATTCAATTACGTTTTCACGTCGTCAAATTCACGTTTATAGGAAATGTCAATTTTGCCCTTAAATTTTCAGATGAAAGTACATCAAAACCCCTTGATAAACAAAACTTGTTTCTCATTCTGGTAAATGCTCTAGATATTGTTAATTTAATATATAATTTCAGAGTCGTTTTCACGACAAGCCTCCAAATCCCCTATCCTCAAATCTCATGCATTTGAGTTTGTTTTTTTTTTTAAAGAAAAAAATAACTACTTATCCCACAACTAAATTTTTTTTTTATCATTAAAAAAAAAAAAAAAAAAAAACTACCCATCCAATACCTTCTTTCTGTTTTTCTTTTTGTTTTTTTTTCAAGGAACTACTACTAACATTTCACTTTTTTTTTTCTTATTTTATTTTTATTTTTATTTTTATTTTTTTTGGATACGTAGTATAATATGTGACAAGCATTAGCACGAGTATACAGTTCCTTCATCAACTATTCACTATAGCACTCAAAACCCCCAACATTTCACCTTTTTTAAATAATATGTACCAACATTTCACTTTGTTTTACAAGTATTTTTTGATATATAGTATAATATATGTCATGCATTAGCATGAATATATAGTTCTTTTTATCAATAATTCACTAAAGTACTCTAAATCCCCAACCCTTCAATTATATGCATTTTTTTAGGGACTACCCTCTAAATAATTTTTACTACTCTGATCATAAAAAAAAATAAAAATAAAAATGTACAACACGTTTTTGCGCAACTAACCTCACCGAATAACTATTTGCAACAGATTAAAGTATATAACTCCTAGAGCAAGACACTAACCCATATGAAACTAACTGAGTAACCCGAGTAACCTCTAAAACACTAAACGAGTAACCTCTATAACTTTGACAAACTAAACCCCATAATAGCTAGCTACATTGCGTGGCCACCGACATAAAAGAGTAAGACCCTGTTTTTTGAGCTTCTAAGCAAAGCAGGGAATATTATATACAGAGTAGGTGTCAGAACGACAAAAAAAGTGGCAACACATTATTAATACGATTATTAATACTCACTAGCGCAAAGTTGAGCAGGGTTCAACAGAGTCGACCAGTCCAAAACTGACCATTACAGCCCAAGTATAAGTTACAACATCAAGATCAACTTTCCATATTTTAAATATATACTTCCTCCGTTTTTTTTATTATTGCACCATAAGGGTTTGGTACAAATATTTTGGTAGTGGAAAAAAGTAAGAGAGAGAAAGGTATAAATACAAAATTGCCCATGTGATATATTGATAAACTAAAAAGTAAGTGTGAAAAACTAAGGTATGTTAGGTATTTGTAGTGTGAACACAAATAATTTTTTTCCTATTGAGAAAATGGTGCAATATTTGTGAAACTTCCTAAACCGGCAAGTGGTGTAATAATAAAAGAACGGAGAAAGTATATTTTTTTATATCTAGTGCATTTTACACGGTACACTCTAGTAAACAAAATCCAACAGAAGTATCAACTCAAAAACTCAAAAGAACCCACCACTAATGTAGTTCACACCTACCCTTTTAAGCGTGTCGGTTTTGTATATATTTTCATTTTTTATTTTTGTGTTTTTATCCTTGGTACGTGCAAATTTCTGGGCTGCAATTAAATACTACTTTTATTTTATGACTGCTTTCTCTCTCCTCAAATACCAAAAGTCAGTTGGATTTTTTTTTTTTATTTTTTTTTTATTTTTATTTTTTTTTTGCGTAAACGTTTTTTTAATTTGAATAATAAATAAACAACAAAAAATAACCAAAAAAAAATCTCTCATTCTTCTTTCGCGCGTATATAAACCACCCAGTCGAAAAAGCCAACTTCCCCAAAAAGATCAAATGCTTTGAAAAAATTTACCCCATCTTCTAGAGAGAGAAACTCACCATCATCAAAAACCAGTTGAACAAGAGAGAAAAGAAAAAAAAGACAGTCATATTTTATATTTGATTTTGCTCATTTGTACAAAAAGGAAATATTTATTTTTTATTTATATATACAGTATATAAAATCGATCACCAATTCGCCATTTTCTGTCTCTAAAAAACTCACTCTCTTCTCTCTCTTCCCTCCCACCATTCTCCGATCAGATTCTGGTGCAACAATGGAGTCGGAAGGGACCCACTCAGATCCAAACCCGGATTGGGATTCGGGTCATGGGCCTGAAACTGGGCTTGAAGGTATTATATTCTTTTGTATTTGATCACATTTTCAATTTAATTGGGTGTTTCAATTTGGTTTTGGTGATATATAATGTGGGATCAATTTTGATGGATTGTGGGTTTTGGAATAAGAGTAGAACCGATGTGGCAGCTTGGAATGGAGGAGCCATCATCATACCCGGAACGGCCCGGTGAGCCCGATTGCATATATTATCTGAGGACTGGTTTTTGTGGTTATGCCGATCGGTGTCGTTTTAATCATCCCCGTGATCGTTCTACTTCACCGGTAAAAACAATGTATTTCATTTCGAAAATAATTTTTTTTTATTTTTTATTTTTTATTGATTCTAATATATGTAATTGTTATTGTTTGATTTTGTTGTAATTTGATCTTGCAATTTGTTGGATTTTTATGGAATCAATTTTGTTCCTTTACCTTTTTTAACAAATGGAATTTTGTGTTGAGTATCTATCTTAGCTTAACTTCTGTATCTGTGGATTTCGTTATTATTATATTTTTAAATAAACTAAGTTTTAAACTGGTGCGATGTTAACATTGATCAGGTGGTACGAAGTGGAAGGGTTAGTGGAGGAGGCTTACCTGAGCGAGCTGGTCAGCCAATCTGTCAGGTACTATATTGACCCGTGTTAACGAAATTGAAAGTATTTGTACATATATTGATGTTTTCGACATTGATTGCTACTGAGATATAGATTGTGTTCGTGTTTTCGATGCAACAATCCTTTTCTTTTGTTATTGATATGCCTGAATTTATTTTTGTTTATTGACGTACATGAATTTTTTAAGAAACATGTATTAAATCTTTGTGTTTTATGTTGCTCTTCCTTCGTGAAACATTGTAGTATTTTATGAGAACTGGGAGTTGCAAATTTGGCTCTTCTTGTAAGTACCATCATCCACGGCAAGGAGCTAGTTCTGTGAATCCGTTTGCGCTGAACATATATGGATACCCTTTACGCCCGGTTTGTATACTATATTTTTTTGTTGTAGTGAGAGTCTTAGAATTCTTCCCAGAGTTAACACTACATGAAGATTTAAACTTCAGGAACCTGATGATTGTTGATTCTGCAGGGAGAGAAAGAGTGTACTTATTACATAAAAACAGGGCAGTGCAAGTTTGGGATGACATGCAAATTTCACCATCCACCTCCTTCAAATGTACCAGTACCTACGGCAGCACCTGCCACAGTTCCTCCTGCCTTAGCTTCGCCAACTGTTTACTCTACTCCTGGTCCCACTCCTCAGCAGTATGGAGTGATGACCAGCAATTGGCCTGTTGCAAGGCCCTCTATGGTACCGGGCTCGTATATCCAAGGACTGTATGGACCAATGCTGATCTCTCCTGGGATAGTTCCCTTTCCTAGTTGGGGACCTTACCCAGTAAGTGAATATCATTTTGGTTGCGTGGCTATAGAAATGATGTTTGAAAGTTGAAACATTATATATATCTCGGTGTTTGATTTTATGAGGATAATTTTGTCACTAGCAAATGGAAAAGCTATGCGATTAATGCCTGCAGCTGTATTATTTATTGTCTAATTTTGGATTTGGATTTTCTTTTTCATGAAAGAGAGTAAATTTTCACAAAAAAAAAACTGTGTTAAAACATTCTTAGATAGGGCTCAATTGGCCAATGGTATGATTTCCTAACTTGGGCCTTGACCTCTTGATACAACTAACATAGTGTAGAATTACCAACTCTCATGTTCCCTTACGTCATCCAATTTAGCGGCTTTTAAAAAGAAATGGATTTAGATGTAGGAAGGAAAAGGAAGGTGGGGGTTATAGTCTTATGGTGGAAAGATATAAGATGTGGTAATCTTAGTAATTGTACTAACTCTTTACAATTGCAACATGATCGTCATCATACCCGTGATAACAGTAACAGCTAATACATAGTATAATTATGAGTGGATTGGGTAAAAAAAAGATTTATGTTTTCCTGAATTTCCTATAATCTAGAGAGTACACTCATTTCTGATGCAGGTTGTAAATGCTACTTTTAGTTGTAGTTATTGCTTCAAAGGAACTGCAGTTCTCTTTTATACTGTATATGGTTGAAAACTTAAAACATAATTCATGTTAAACTAGTTGGTTTCATGCTAGCAAAATTCCCATGAAGTTCGAGCTTTTGAAAGTAAATGATGTTGTGCTGTTGAAAAAAAAATTATATTGAACAGTGCAAATTAAGGTTAGGTCAGTCACCATTTATTGTGTTTAAAGTCTTTCTGCACAGTTTTTCAATTTTGTGTCTAATTGTTTGGTAACTATGTTTGGCACAGGGCACTACCCCTATAACTGCCCCTAATACCCAGTCAGTGGGAGCTGGCCAATTTTACGGTTTAATGCCAATGTCACCTTCTGCTTACACTGGTGTAACTGGTCCTTATCAAGCTATATCTCCTTCTGGTGGTGGAACAACTAGTATATCAAAGGAACATTCATATCCTCAGAGACCCGGGCAACCAGAATGCCAGCATTACCTTAAAACAGGAGACTGCAAATTCGGTTCGTCATGTAAATATAATCATCCTTCAGAATGGGTTGTTCCAGAAACCAGTTCTGCCCTTAGCCCCATGGGACTTCCTCTTCGTCCAGTATGTATTTTTACACCTCTTACTTCTAATTCTCATTAAATTCTCAGTAGTTGTATATTCTAATTGACTTATTGGGATATCATTACGTTGGGTCTCCATCACCCAATATTGTTCCTCTTCACTTTTCTAAAGGAGAACCATAGCCTGAAGACTACTGTCATATTTTGTGAAAGCTTATTGTGCTTTGGTGCTTATAGAAGTGGTTTGCTCTGACATCCTTTTGGGCTCACCTGTCACCAACTCCTTATGTCAGTATTTGATTACTATACTAGTCATACTTTTCATTGTTTGTTCTAGTTAGAGTATGATTACCTTATGATGAATCTGTAATCTTCAAGTATCTTCTAGGTTAATAAATTTGGGCATGCATTCTCAATCTCCTTAATTGTGAGAACTGAAGAGAAGGTATGAGGTTCTGGTGGTTGTCTGAACCTATATTCTTGGGTAGGCTTGGATATTCTGCTTATTTAATCCCTGGATTTGGATTTTCCATCAGATTTTAACGTCCTCAGTTAGTCTTTTTTATGCTAATGGTTTAATTAGATAAATCTTGCAGTTGTTTATTACTAAATTGCCCGCAATAATTCTTCGTCCACATCATTACCATGATAAATGCTATTTAACTTGCAGTTTCGTCTTTAAACTATATGGTAATAATGTATTCATCAATTCTTTTTAGGCTTACATTCTTTATGTGACATTGATAAATACAAAGACTTGGATTCTATTGTCTGGATTTTGATTTAAAATATCTACTGTGGGGCCTTAACAGAACGTAATTTAATATTGTTAATTTATGTGTTATTAGTGCCAGTGACAACTATTTTCATTCCTTTTGTTTAAAGCAGTGTTCTTTAATTCGTGTATAACTGTTTAAGATTCGATTGAATTATCCCAAAAGTGTAACTTTCGCTTGTACATATACATATATTTGTATATTACTGATCAATGTTCTTGGGGGATTGTTGAATTACGTAGCCTTTTAGTGTGCCGGAATTTTCATAGTGGACATGGTATTCTCTCTTCTAGTTCTCATTTTCAATGCAGATATGTCTTGTTGAGTATTTCACTTCCATCTATTAAGTGAACAAGTGGAGGGAGTAAGGACATCCTAGTCGTATAGAACTGATGCCTTGTGAATTTTATTACTTCTTTTGGTTCTCTGTATATGGACATATGGTAGTTGTCAATACAACTTTGTTTAGCAGAGAAAACGAGTTCAATTTCTGCTACCAAAGGTGCTAAAGGGAAGCCTGTAATATTTTTCTCTTTCTGGACTGTTTCTTCTAAACTTTCACATCATTTTATGTTTTTTAATGATGTCACTTGTCTAGTTTTCTCAATTATATGTCAGCATAATTAAAGCAGAAATTAATAATTGATAGAAAAATATATACAATGTTAAAATTATGTTGCTTTTCATAACATTGATTTAAAAATTTTTTTTTTTTAATTTTTATAATTTGATACAAACATTAATTAAAATGATTCACATATTTTCTCAAATTTACCTTTTCAGTTTTTTCTATTCAAAATTTACATCTCTTCGACAGTGGAATGGTTAATTTTTTTTCTCAACCCTTAATAGAACTGTAGCATGATTGTAGGGGAATTGTGTAATTACTTGAGGTAAGTAGGGGGTAATTCATTGTGGTGCCTACTTGCATAGCTTCGAAAGTTCAGCTCAGTTAAAACTTGACTTGAGTGAGCTGTTGTGCCCAACCTCAATTGAGATTTGTAATCTTAATAATTATGTTAATCTTTCCTTGCTCAGCAAAAATTTGAGTAGCTCAACTTTATGATGGCTATTATTATGTTTGATACGGTTTTTTTAATTAATAGATCTTACAAACTTGTAATATATATATATTTATATATATATATATATATATATATATATATATATATATATATTTTAAAAGAAAAAAAAGCATGAGCACACCTATATTATTGTTTTCATGAAAACTTGTTGCTTTTTGTTGAGTTCTACAAACTCAGTTTGATCTTGAGTTTAGTTGCTACTTGCCTGACCAACTAAGCTCTCCATTAAATTTGATAAGTGAGCTAATTAGGCCGTGTTATTATTTTCTGTGATCTATCATATGTTTATTATCTCTGGCTAACGTTTAGTTGAATATGGACTGGAAGAGACTCCAGGGTTACTATCGAGAAGATTGATTCAAAGTTTTTTGGCCTGTCAGTACTCTTTTCCTTTATTTAATTGTGTAACTCTTTGTAACCTTCTTCTGCTCTTATATTTAGACTTACAAAGGGCTGTCTTACAGGACTGTAGGATTGGACCATATTTATGTCATTTTCTTGGTAGAGCTTTTTTTTTTCCTTTTTACCTACACTGATTGTGTTTTGCAAATTTTTATTTATTTATTTATTTATTTTTAAATGATATATTTCTAGAGTGTACCCGTGCAAAATGCACGGGATATATATTATATTAGAAAGATTTTAATTTTATAATATAAGAAAAAATATATTTCAAATACGGGGTTGATTTAGATGTAGTAACTTATGCCCTGTTATTTTGAACTATTTATGGTCTGCTCTTGCTCTACTATACTTTGTTGAGCTCTGCTCTACTCTATTGTCACATGCTCTACTCTTTTGCAATCTGATGTACTCTATTCTGCTCATAAACTCGAAAGAACAAAACCTTACTCTTATATGTAGGTGGCCATGCAAATGTGTCAAGCTATTATGGGGGTTACTTTTTCAAAGCTGTAGAGTTACTCGTTCAGTGTTATAGGGGTTATTCGGTTAGTGTCATATGGGTTATTCGGTTAGTGTCATAGGGGTTATTCCATCAGTGCTATAGGAGGGGTTACTTTGTTCTTTTGCAAGCAACTATTTGATGAGGCCAATTACGCAAAAAGCGTGTTGTACATATTTTTATTTTGATTATTAGAGAAGTGGAAGTTGTTTGAATTGAACGGTTGGGGATTTTGAGTTCTATAGTGAATTGTTGATAAATGAACTGTAAATCCGTGCATCCGTGCTAATACATGACACATATTATACACAAAAGAAAATAACACAAAGTGAAATGTTAATAGTGTTTAAGAAAAAAATGAATTGTTATTATTAGTTATTGCATTCCCTTGAAAAAATACAATTTTTTTTTGTTTAAAAAAAAACAAATAAAGTAATGGAATGATAGTTATTTTTTTTTTAAAAAAAAAAAAAAAAAAAAAACCTCAAATGCATGAGATTTGAAGATTGGGGATTTGAAGGGTTGTGGTGAAAACGACTCTGCAATTATATATTAGATTTGTGTTCTTACTTGCATTTTATCCCCTCTTTTATTCCCCCTTACTCTTTTATTAAACTTTCTCAATTTCAATTTTATATCCTGTTTTTTGGATTTTCACTTTACACTGCCCTTGTTTTTCGGCCGCTAAGTATTTTCTTGGATTTTCCATTGTTTGCGGTTGGCCCCTTATGAAGATTCATGTTAACCAACTCCTAATCATTTTGGTAATAAGGCTTTGTTGTTTTTGTTGTTGTTGTTGTTGAGGAGTCAGGGAAGGTGGCTGGTGGGGCAATATAGACCAAGATTAAGTGATTAACTATCTTTGAGCATCCTGTTTCTTCCTTGTTTATGAAATGGGATTTCTGTTGTTTAAATAGAGTTATGGTTAAATGAAAATAAAACTAGGGAATGAGTATATCAATGGATTCTAAGTACAACTTTTTGATAGTGGTAAATTAACATATGCATGCATAGTTTACTTACCGATCATTTCCTTTTCGAAGAACTTATTATGTTATTGAATTGCATGCGATTCTGCATTTCTGTTTTTTATACTATATATTTAAACTAGATGGTCTGGGCTTGTTGATTGGTCATTTCGTAAAAACAAATTAGTTCAAGTTGTTTGTGAATTCTAGAAACATGTTAACTCCATTATTTTACAGGGTACTCCAACTTGTAGTTACTATGCACAACATGGAGTATGCAAGTTTGGTCCAACATGCAAGTTTGATCATCCAATGGGAAATCTAAGTTACAGCCCTTCTGCATCTTCTCTTTCGGATATGGCAGTAGCTCCTTATCCTGTTGGATCTTCTATTGGAACTCTTGCTCCATCATCCTCGTCCTCAGATTTGCGAGCTGAAGTAATTTCAGGGTCCAACAAAGAATCTGCTTCTGCCTTGTCTTCCTCTGTGAGCATATCAAGCGGTTCAGGTGGCTCTGTATTGTCAAGCGGTTCAGGTGGCTCTGTATTGTCAAAAAGTGGGTCCATATCGCACTCTGGTATCCAGCAGTCTAGTCAGAGCTCTACTACTTCCACTGGGAGTAAAGGAGGTCCTGGTGACGGAGGTGCTCCAAGCTAAGCACCAAACAGGAAATGCTTATTTTCCTCATTTTTGCTTTTGTAGATGAAATTTCAGGAACCATCAGAAGTCATTCTTTTGAACAAATCCGAGGCAGGAAGTCTATCCCCTGCCCCTTATCCACAATTCACACTAGCACACACAACTGTCCACATCTGTGTTTATAGAATCGCGGTGGCCATCTTTTTTTCTTTCTTGAATAAGCCATCCTGCAGTCCCATATTCTCATAATAATTAGGGAAAACAAGTAATACTCATCCATTGAACAGAGTCCTATCCCCTCCAAATTACTAGAATTTCCAGTGGCTTATAAATGATCTCACCTCCCCCTTCCATCTTTCTTCTTCCTCGAATATGATTATGACTGGTCCTTGTACGTTGCCATTCCCTTTTGTACATGGACCTTGATTCGCGCCTTTCTTTTGCACTATCCAATACACGGAACATGCTTCCCAGCCCAGCCTTAGGGCGTGGTATGATTGGGAGTTTCTGTTTGTTCCCTCACTTCTTTTGCCTCCTCGGGCAAAATTATTGCCAAAAAAATCAGGATCTGAAAGCAGGCACTGTCTTTGCTGCCTTCTTATATATAGAGAAAGATGATGTGACATTTAATACAATGTTACTTGATAATTTATCATGTCATCCTTTTATGTGAAGAAGAAAACTTAACTCTTATTTATGCGTTAGTCTGTTTGTTAATTGCCTTAATTTTCATGTTCTGTGTATGGAACCGACTTAGGCTCTATTCATACATCTCACCTTATTTTCACTTATTTAAGCTCTAACATTCTCAAATCAATAATGACAATACATGACAAAAATAGGCTAATAAGTTATGAAAATTTAGGATAAGATAAAATTAGAGGTTATTAAACTCATAAAACAGTTCATAAACTTCAATAAAATATGATAAAATAGTACTCAATTAATTGACCTTTGTATTTGAAATCATTATTGTAGATTAAAATGTAGATTAAAATATTATTCCATTAACAATGACCTTCGTATTTGAAATCATTTACGTAGGTTAAAAAAAAAAAAAAAAAAAAAAAAATGAAAACTCAACTTGGTTGCATTTATTGTGGACTAAGTCATGCTTAATTCACTCTATTTTATTTTTTTTAATACTTATACTTATATATCATATCATATTTGGAAAAAAAAAATCTTAATCAAATCAGAAAAAATATGTTCTATACTTAGGGCCTGTTCACATTTACTTAATTTCAGTTCAGTTCAGTTCAGCTACAATCAGTTCAGTTCAGTTCAGTTCAGCTCCAATCAGTTTAGTTCAGTTCAGCTCTTGATTTCCCTTTCTCATAAAATATTTATTTTAGCTCAATTCAGTTCAGTTCAGTTCAGCTCTAATCAGTTCAGTTCAGTTCAGCTCTAATCAGTTCAGTTCAGTTTAGTTCAGCTCAGTTCAGTAAATGTGAACAGGTCCTTACTTTATTATTTTATGTGCAATTTTTATTGTTAAATTTCTTTTAGTTATTTAATGAAAGTTACATATTATTAAAATAAACCTTATTATTCTTTAAAAAAAATAATAAGGTTAAAATGACCCGTTTGATATGACCCCGTTTGATAAACTTTTCTTAAATTAGTATACATAAATTAGTATACATTTAATATGACCCCATTTGATAAACTTTTCTTAAATTAGTATACATATATAAGGTTAAAATTCAATCAAATTAAAAATTAGGTGAGATCAAGAAAAATAAGTTAGGATTTGATTTTGGTTTAACGTAAAATTCACTTGGCCACAAAGTACACATGAAAGTATGGGACATTGCCTTTTTATTATATTATATTATATTTTTTATTTATTTATTTTGGTAACGAACGTGCGTTAGATAAGCATTCAAAATTCCTAAAAAAAAATAAATAAAATAAAAGATAAGATAAGCATTTAAAATAGGAGTGCTACCCGATTTATTCCTCATAATTCATTAATCTGGGGTATTTTCTACATTTCAAGTGATATATGAAGGGCACATGTGTCTTTCGCTATAGATGCCTAATTAACTGCTGTTGCACCAATAATTGATGTGTTTGCAGGTGTAAGGAGGGCGATCCCATCGTAAGGGGCACTCTCCTTAAATGCCCTTGGCCAGTTAAAAACCTAGGACTTTACACTTGTTAAGGTGTAGTAGGATTTGAATTCCTGACTGTTTGGGGGACCTTGAATTAAATTGATTCTATCATCACGCTTTTTTATAAGAAACAAGTAGGAGTCGCCAATGAGTTTTAGGAAAAACTCATAAACCTCGTTCATGCCTTTCTTCCATGTGGAGTTCATGGAATAATTAGCACAAATAATAAGTTTACCCATATCCAAATTGGTCTATAAACCAGAAATGAGTTCGGGAGCGAGGGTACTAAGATAACGTTCCTTTTAGAGGGGAATCGTCCATCCTAGCCCTAGTAAGACCTCTACTAGCTCTTCCTTTTTCACAATTTCATCACCAAACAATATATGCAGCGCGATATCTAAAACTATGTTAGTTGATTTTATTTACAAGCATTAATTCACGTAGGAATTACATTGCAAACTCGTTATTCTTATTTAATAAAATTTGTGGAAGAACAATAATTAAACAAGATTCGCCTTGGCTTAGGTGCTCAACCAACAATTATTTAATTCAATTCTAGTCTTTATTAACGCAAGATACTATGTGGAATTGATTAATTAATTATTTTAAAAGTAATAAAACAACACTAATTAATTAATTAAAGTCCTTTTAAACAAGAAAAATAAAGGTGATTTAACTAAGTGCTCGGGAATTTACCACTTCTCTTTGCTAGATCTCCGTTTAGAACAATTATGGACACCTTCTTGTTGGGGAACCTCCACCGTAGTAACAAAGTATCGGAAGGGTGAGTGTTTAGGATAAGAGGGCTAGGTTGCACAAGTTCACAAGTTATTTCGCCAGAGTTTTAGGTTAATTTCTCTCTCTTGAAGCCTCGGCTTAAGCTCGTATTTATTGAGAAGGATTAGGTTTATGGTTTCGAGCTTTCTGCCGCGGCAGGTGTCGCGAGCAATATATGAAGTTGCGCGCGGCAACCCAGCGCAAGTTATAGAGTTGCGCTGCTATGTGCAGCGCAACTATTGTTCTTGCGCGCGACTTTATGGTAAGATTCGATTTTATATTTTCCGTATAATTTCCGAATAATTACAAATCTTCCGTAGCGCAACTCTGGAAGTTGCGCTGGGTGTCGCGCGCAACTGAAATAGTTGCGCGCGGCTTTTTCTGCGGCAGCACTAAGTTTTAACCTAGACGCTCCTAAATCCGTCATTATTAGGGTTTAAGCACGGACTTAAGCCTAATTATGATCAGGTTTAGTTAATTGGACCTTTGTTTTGGCTTTTCTTTAATTTGGGCTAGTCTTTTGTGTTTTGTGGCTTAACCAGTTATCCATAAGTATTCTTCACTTTGATCCAACACGAAGATGGCTTTATTTATCATCATTGCACTTCCTGTCGGGACAGGAGGCCAAAAGTACATATCTACAGCAGGGGTTGGCATGAAGGCGTTAACGGTAGTAAACCATAGTTACTTATCGTTAGATAAATCAAATTTCCCTCCTGGTTACAATCTTATCTCTCCCCTTTTTACGGATCTGTAATGTTTGGGTCTTTCATTTGATACTTGCTTGGAGATTCGTTCTATGTGGTCCCGATTTGCTTCGTCGACAATCTCACAGCTAGTAGTGGTCGGTCAGTGTTTTTAGCTCTCGGATATTGGATACGAAATTCAGGTATTGCGGTAAACAATTGAGTCGTAGTAGTGGTTGTTGTATTAGTCCTGTTCGTGGTAGTATTTTATTTTTTTCCTCTTAGTCCAGCAATGGATTTATGTTAGTTATATGTGGGTTAGTTTATATTTGAATACATTGAACTCGCTTTATATTTTTAAAGTTCAATATAAATGTTTTTGTGGAAAGTATATAAATATGAATATAAGCTATTGATATTTGTGGTGTTAGTGATGTGGTCGACTCATGTCGATGTGTGTGGGCAAATGTGAAGTCGAATTTTAAATTGATTCAAGATGTATTGTGTACTTGTAGACACCCAAATGTGTCTCCCCAAAACCAAATCTAGTGATGAATACCTTTCACGTCGTTTGATTATCGAACGAGGTGAAAGTGCGAAAAGTCTAGTGATGAGGATGTTTTTATTAAAATATTTCTCTTTCTGTTTTCAAAATATTTCTTTTCTTACTCTATTTATAAAAAATAGCCAGTCCAATTTAGTTTGGTCCATGATAAGGTTCCAATAATAGTGTAGTTGGATTGAGCTTGAAAAGAGATTTCCAATGATCTATTATAAGCCCAATTCCGATCAATAATGAGGAAGTTATGGATTAAATTAAATTAAATTAGGCTCAATGATTTTGAATGTGGCCCAATGATCTAGAGGAGGGCCTATTAATTATTCCTAAAGTAATTAGGATTGATGTTAATCTTCTAGAAAGTTCTTTTTAATTCTCAAAAGATTAGGGTTGATAATTATATTTTTAAAAGATGTTTGATTTTAAATAAAATATATTATTTATCACAAATCTGATTTTAAATCTTTTTAGACGTGGAATTACTTGTTAACCCGTTTAAAAGATGATTCCGCGTACGAAAGCGCGGTTGTACTTCTGAATCAGTGCGAGACGACAGAGTCGTCGCCTGGAGCTGACAGCTGTTGTAATACCCCGTATTTTTATGTATTTTTATAAAGTATTTAAGTATTAATAAAATGTATTTTCAAGGGCTCAAGTATTTTAATTAAATATTTTAAAGGGTTAAAGTATTTTAAATATAAAGTTTTATAAAAGTAAAATATGTTTTGGGCCAAACGTTTATTAATTATTGGGCAATGTAAATTATTCCTACATACTATTATTGGAATAACCCATTCCAAAACCCATAACTTAAGCCCTATCCCATAACTCAAGCCCACATTTTTATAAGCCCAAATTTAACCCTACACTTTCTACTCTATAAATACCCCATGAATCCCCAAAAATTTTCCACACAAAAAGGTTAGTCTTATTTTCTCTCTCCTTTGTTTTATTAGTTTGTGTAATTATAATTTTGATTTATGGGTTTTAATTTTATTGTTTGAAATTAATTTAATTAGTATCAAATTGTATTTTGATGATTAAACTTTATAATTTTCAGATTTTGTAAATTTTATAACATAGAGTTTTTAATTATTGAAAATCATGATTTTAGGGTTTTTATGAATAATAGATTTAAGGCTTTTATAGTAATGATGTTTTGAAATTTTGGTGATTATAACTACTTATTAGTTTAACTTAATTCCAGATTATTTTGAACACGTAAATTCATGTTTTAATTATTAGATTTCCGTTCGTTAAATATTAATCCCGTTTTAATCCCGATCAGGTTCTGAACTCCTCCGATTTTGATAAAAAAGTAGTTTTTTCGTGTGGAAACAACGTTTTAAGAAAGACTCACTACTTTGGTAGTGAGCACCACCCTTTAGTGGCCAAATTCAGCCTCTAAATATGATTTTCGGGCAGTTTTTGATTTTTAACGAAGTTTTTTTTATGCTTTAAATTTTATCCTTGAGTTTAAAAGGGGTAAGAGATAATTTAATGTTTCTATGGATAATTTAAGTATAAAGATGTATTTTGATGAAGTTTTGAAGGATTTTTGATTA